TCCACAAAGGGGTGGAGGAAAGGTCAATGTAGTTATAAACTGATGATTTTTCTTTGCATAGTGTACAAAGTACCCTTTACTTTTTAATGAAACAAGGGTAAAATCTATGAAGCCTCCATGGCTTCATGTTCTAATAATTATAAATCTTATTATATACCTTAGACTAGCAGTGTTTGAATTCAGTCATGTTCATAACAGATCTCAAAATGAGGACGTTAGATCTAGCAATCTGCTGGCAGCTTAATTACCTGTTCCCAAAACATTACTGGTGATTTGACAAGTGGCATACATTGATTGTCTTGGATAAATGGATGTGTCGGGTTAGGCGTGCTGAAAGCCCAATTGAAGTCCTCACAGATAAAGCAAAAAGAAAACTGCCTACGACAGGCTACTTGGGTTCTTGCAATTCCCCAACCCTGCCCTCTCTGCAGTAGGAGGTCTTCAGATCCATGGTCTGGTCACCTGATGGAGGAAGGCACTAACCTGATCTGTTACAGGCCTGAAAACACTGGAAAAAAAGTAAGAACTTTATTCTCCAAACTCATCTGAATGATAAATCAATTTTCATTTACTGGCACAAAGCAACTTAGCCTTTCACATGCTCTTTTTGGAAAACAATCTGCAAAATTCATATTACCAACATATTAATCAATTTTTAACCAGTCCCACTCATTTTTATAGAAATGCCTCAGGATCTTATATTTTAACATCAAAGTGGAAGGCCTGGTACCAATGGGCAAACAAAAGACACAGATCGTGGCATCTGAAATAACAAAAGGCATCGGTTTCTTCCTGCTTTCGCAACTTCTAAAAGATGTCAGTTCTATGGCACTGAAAACATAATCTCAACACAAGAACAACATAAAGAAAGAGTCCAAGTAAAGCTGAGCCTAGAGTAGGCAGAGCAGGAAACCAAGGCATTTACATGTTGCAGACAAAAGAGCAGATCCTCTTCAGTGCTGCCTACTCTAAGGTAGACAACAATAGTACTTAAAGCCAAGCCGTCTTAGAACGAAACAGAAGAGGCAGTCTGGGAGACTAGAGAGAACTCCTCAGGAGGAGTCCCGGACGGATCCAAATCCTCTCTCTGAAACCAGTTGTACAAACAGGCCCAAAAAGAATTTCCTTAACTTCTGAGTATAATTCTGCTTAAAAACAAAAACAAAAACAAAAAACAGTTGTAGTAATAAATAATTTAGGATATTAGATGTAATATAAAAGTGACCTCCAAATTGCTAAATACTAACGACAAACAGAAGAGAGAAAAACGCTGGAGAATCTGAAAGTACCCGCCTAGAAGGAGCATAACAGCCAAGACACGCACAAAATGATACTGAAACTAATTAAGACGTACAGGTCGCATCCTCTTTAAAATGTTCTTTCACTGACGGAAAAACACTGAACCTGGAAAATTCTGCCTCTTCCTAAAGAAATTCACCTGCTATCCCACAAGTCACCAGCAGTGGGAAGCAGAGAGTTGCTGCAGCTGCGAACCCAGAACCCACCCACCTGCTCCTCACCTGTCAGACTCGTGTCCAGTAAGTCAGACCCAATTGTCCTAAGAGCTCTGTGCCATCTCAAGAACAGACTTTCTACTCTTACTCTTCATACAAAACAGAGGGAATCTGCTGAACTATAACAGCAATACCATCCCCGAATATAATCTGAGAAGCATTAACTCATAAAAACAGTATTAAACCATAAGAGACTGGCCCTAGATGGCTTGGCTCAGCGGCCCACAGACTGAAGGGTCCTGGGTTCAATTCGGGGCAAGGGCACACACCTCAGATGCAGGCTCAATTCCTCGCCCCCATCAGCACAGGAGAGGGAGGCAACCAATCAATGTTTCCCTCTCACTTCAATGTTTCTCTCCCCGCCACCTCTCTCTCCCCCCCTCCATCTTCATTCTCTCAGAAAAGCATTGGAAAAAGTATCCTCACTAGAGATTAAAAAAATAAATAAATAAACCATAAGAGGCTGGGCTTCATACAAGGCAACATTAGAAAAAAATTTTCCAAGTTTTTATAATGATATGAAAGAATGCTTATGTTATATTGTTAGGGAAAACATGATGGGTTGGGAGATTCAAAACTCTGATCTAAATGACTTCAACTATGTGTTAAAAAGAAAGTTCACATGGGACTTGTCTTACCGGCTCTCATAATGCATTATAATGTGGTGCCTGTACAGGGACAAATAGATCAACAGAACAAAGACTAGATTAGGAATCCAGAAGCAGACCTAAAGATATCTAGAACTTTCAAATAAGATAGAAGCGGCATTACAAAATCATGAGGAAACAACAAATTTGATAAAAGGTGGTGGGATGATTAATTTTCCGTATGGAGAAAATAAAATTAATTAGACCCCTACTTCACTCCATTCTTAAAAATAAACTCCATAAATATTTACAATTTTAAAGATGAATAAGACATTAAACCTATTTGAAAAAAACAGAATAATATTCTAGATGAATATTAGACAAAGGACATGAATCCAAAATACAAAGAAGAAAACTAAAGAGCCAATAAGCATATGAAAACATGCTTAACGTCACTAAGAAACCAGGTAAATACAATTAAAATGAGATAGCATCAGGACAGGAAGAATTTTAAGTCTGAAAATACCAAGTGTTGAAGGCAATGTAAAGAAATAGATGAAGAAAGGAGAACACTAACTGGTGTGGGATTATAAATTTTGACCATGGCTTGCAGAATAATTTGGCTGCATGTGGTCAAATAAAAAATGAACACTGCCCTATGAATCACTGTGTATTACTATTTCAACTGTAGTTATTGTCTAGAAAGCTCACCATGCTCACAAAGGGAAATGTGTTGTAATTTTCAATGCAGCATTATGGGTAAGAGAAAACAAATGTTTTTAAAGTACTCCAGATGTTCACTGGTAAGAGAATACATAATGTGGTATAGTATTCTATACAATACCGCAAATACGACAAAGTAGTTAAAATGAGTGAACTAGGTGTGTATTTATTAACATAGCTAGACCTCAAAATTAAGCAAATGGGAAAATTTTACAGAGATAATTTAAAAACACTCACAACAAATGTGTATGCAGTTTTGGATACATAAATACATAGTAAAACTATAAAAACAGACTAGATACCTAGCAGGTTGTTATAGTGGCTCCCTCCTGACTGGAGGCAGGGTCGTGGGGTCAGAAGTACAGGTGGTGGAGGGGGAACAGGCCTGGGGCAGAATTCTGAAGACTCCAACATGAACTATAATGGTGGGAAATTTTTTTTAATCCAAAGAACTAAACACTACTAACACTTGCTTTAGGTGGCATTACGTGGCCTTTCATTACATTATCCTCTGAGCTATTCTGTAATTTCCTTTGATTACTGTTTATAATGCAAAATAATCACTAAAAAAAAAATAAAGAATATATTCTGCTCTGGGTAATGAAAATAAAACCTTTCTTGGCTGCTGCTGTACTGTATTTTCCAATTTTTCATAATAAGCCTATATTAATTTTAGAATTGGGGGAAAATCTTTTGAACAGAAAATATACACAGGTAGTAATAAGACTCCATATAGTTCTGGTCCCACATAAAAACCTGCTGACAGGGCTTTGACATCTTTACAAATGTGACACCTGCACTCTCGCCTCTTTGGTAGACAGGTTCTACACAGCCAAAATGCAAACCTATTTTGAAACTCCCAAACTTTTATATAAAATATCAATGTACCAGCGAAGAGAACAAAACTTGCTTCTATAAACATTCTAGTCTTTGAGAAAGGAGAAAGCTAATCCATAACGGCGATAGACTATTAATGCTCTCATCACTCACCGTAGCTGCACAAAAATACAAGAAAGCATTGTAAGAAACAAATTTCATATACCTTCCAGTATGAGTTTTTGCGTTATTAGGATATTTTGTAGAAAGCATTTCAAATTCAAATATAATGAGAAAGTAACAAAATCTATCATTGTATTCCATTACATCAGGAAATAAAATTGAAACTTTTATTACTTGTAGTAAATATTGGTCAAATAACAACCTCACCAAACCTCAGTTTTCTCACCTGTGAAATGAGATCCTACCATGCCAATCTCAAAGGTTATGGCAATCAAATATAGTAATTAATTTTAATCAGCAAAATACCTGCCTGTCTACTTTGCTGGAGGCAGAGAGAAGCAAGTGCCAAGCTCAATGGCCAGCCAGCACTCACGGTATAATTAAACTGAACACGGAAGCTTCAATTGATCACCACGGGGAAAGGAGACAGTCTTACAAGATGGCAAGCGTGACGTGACGAAATAATGTAAGAAACAGAACCTCTTTCTAATGAACAGACACAAACATTTTAAATACTGAGACTGAGGAACGGTCATGATAACAGAGAAACTCCTACAGCAGCAATGTGTGCCATTAGCATTTTTAAAACATGCAATACTGACTATTTAATCAGGGGCACTGACTTCTTTTCCCTCAGATTGTCAAATAAAAATTTTAAAATGACAACAGCCAACACAACAATAGCTGTCCAATGTGAAGAAATCAAAAGTATACCTTTTCTTGGTCAGATCAGCAAAAAATATTTTGGGGGAGTGCCGCAGAATTTTAGTAATTAGTTTATTGTGTCACTAGATGAAAAAGATTGAAAACCGCTATCCTATAGCAACAGTTTCAAGGGTGGTCACTTTCACTTAAAAATACTGTGATGCATTATATATGATCTACAACTATTTAGGTACATAGACAGAATACATACAAAAATACCAAAGTGAAAACAGATGGGTGAGAATGTTGATTTGTGTACCTACGCCACGAACAGTCATTCTTCCTTGTCTCCGCTCACAAACACAAGAGGTGACAGGAATAAGACACGCCAGTTTGCCAGCCAGCCGAGCCAAATCCATCTAGCAGTCAGAGGCGAGGAGCCAGAAAGCTCTCAAGTCTACAATACTGCTATTTTGACTTTAAAATTAAACGAGTAGAAGAAAGAACCCTAAAATTTCAAAAAGCATCTTACCAGGGTGATGTCTCGAGAAGCTGCAGCTGCACTCATATGCAGGCTAGGCTGCCTCACAGAGCTGCTGCAATCAAGGGCTCGAGCGAACGTCCCAACCGCACTAAACAAACCACAAAAACAAAGGGGAAAATCAAGGCTGTTATTTTTTTTATATTTAAAGAAACATATTTTGGTAGTGAATGGAAAATTGTGAAAGAAAAATCAAACAAGCTCTTGGATGTTTGAAAATCAAATATCAAATAAAAATAGTTATTCTCTATAAAATTTAAGAACTGACAAGCCAATGGACCACACATGAGTCATTATAATTAAGAAAAAGTAGGTTGTGAAGCATAAAGAAGGGGAAGATCTATTTTGGAACGCCATAAACAATTTGGCATTCAAATGTGCTAAAAAATGAGAAGTAAATTAGTTAAGAGTTTGACTATTACTGCAAAGCAAGCTCTGACCCTTTTTTTCAGGCCAATTTGTGAAAAATCCCAGTAACATTTTTCCTTGAAATATAGTCAGCCTCTTATCAGGCCTCAATATATAATACATTTTCCATTTTTAAAAATTACCACAACACTGATTATCACTTACTGATTTAGTAGAAATTTCCATATGTAGAGAGCACTAACTTCAACAGATAAAGAATGAGACGAAGATGACTTGCTATTTGTCTTTTAAACATGTTAGCTAAGGAAAAGTTTTTTAAATATTGTAATTAAAATATAACACATGTGCCCGGCCAGCGTGGCTCAGTGGTTGAGCATCAACCTATGATCCAGGAGATCAAGGTCTGATTCCCAGTCAGGGCACATGCCTGGGTTTCGGGCTCGATCCTCAGTAGGGGACGTGCAGGAGGCAGCCAATCAATGATTCTCTCATCATTGATGTTTCTATCTCCCTCTCCCTTCCTCTCTCTGAAATCAAAGACATATTTAAAACAATAAAAATATAATATATAACACATGTGCAGAAAAGTACACATTGTATAGCTATGTAGTTATGTCTAAATGAATTATGCATCCATGTCGCCAACATCCAGGTCAAGAAACAGCAGGCGACCGCACCCTAGAAGACTCCTCCTGCTCCTTCTCAATCACTGCCGGCTCCCTCTTCCTCCAAACGAACCACCATCCTGGATTCTAACGCTAGGTTCATTTTGCTCATTTGGGAACTTACAGAGAGTCACATATTGTGTGCTCTTTTTGGGGCATCTTCTTTTGTTCAAATTTACGTTTGTGGATTCACACCTGCTGCTCGATGCAGCTGTGTGCATTCATTCTCCTTGCTATAGAGCATCCTGCGCACGATGCCCCACCCCCACTCTACTGCTGGTGGACATTTGTTTTCAGTTCGGGGCTACTATGGATAGTGATATTCATGCCATCTGCTTATGTGTCTTCTGGTGCAATGGTCTGTGTATGCACTTCTGCTGGGTATATATTTAGGAGTGAAACTTAAGATATGTGTATGTTAGATGATAGCAAACAGTTCACCAAAGCAGCTATGCCAAATCATACTCCTACCAGCAGGATGTGAGTGCTGATTGCTCCACCTCTTCCCCAATGCTTGGCATTGTGGGTTTTCACATTTTAAACATTCTGGTGGGATGTGCGGTGGTATTTGATTGTGGTCTTAATTTATATTTAGAAGATTTTTTTTAAACAAAAATTTAAAAAGACACTAGGTGTATCTCTTTGGTGCCCGCCTCTTCTGGCTTCAAGGCAAAAGGGAACATATGGCCCTTGGTAATTGAGGGGAAAACAGAACAAGAATCAAATCTAAAACTGTACTGTCTACTAAACAATTCAAAATCCAGGAACCTGTGTGACTCTCCAGGTCAGTGGTTCCACCAACGATTCAATTCTACTCCCTATTCTCCGATTGTATCTATTCCACTGACTGGCTCCAACCCAACAATGTACACCAAGTCTGTTCATCTAATCACTTGGTGACTAAGCATGTGGGCTCTGGAGTCTGAATACCCAGCCACCAATGCGATGTGTGACTTCCATGGTGAATGGCACTATGAACAGTGTTGTCTAAGGATAAAAGCTAAGACTCTTTTACCAGTGCATTATAAAAAAGTTCAACAGAAAATTAAAGAATATAGTGATGAAGACCCTTGTAATCATGTCTGGAGCTACTTGATTCTAATATTTTACCAAGTTTGGTCATTTTTTTAAGAAAACAAATGTTATAAAAAATTTTAGAGCCCCCTACACAGTCCTAGAACTCGTACATATATATACAGCATGCATATGCATATATACGCCCACTAATAAGACATTGTTTGCACATTGTAAAACTTTTTATAAGTGATCATATTGTATGTATCCTAAACCTTATTATTTTTAATCCTCACCTGCTTAGAGAAAGGAAGGGAGGGGAAGAGAGAGAGGGGACAGGAAGAGAGAGAGAGAGAAGGAGAGGGACATTGACATGAGAGAGAAACATAGATGGGCTGCCTTCCATACGCTCCCCAACTGGGGATCAAACCCGCAACCCAGGTATGTGTCCTGACGGGGAATCCAAACGGCAACCTTTCGGTGCAATGGACAACACTCAATCTAACTGAGCCACTCCAGCTGGGCTCAACATTATTTTTGAGATTTCTCTCTTGCTACATATAGCTCTAATTCATTCATTTTAATTGTTGTAAAGTAATATTCCATTCTTGAGTATGACTGCTTGCTGGTATACTTTTAGTTTTTTTCCAATTTTTCTATTACAATGCTATGATAATCTCATTCCCCTTCTGCTTTGCAGCAATTCCTCCATATATATCATTTACTTTTATAAGTAAGAAATAAAAATAAACTTCTATACCATTCACTCTATCAAGAAAAGAGAAAAAGAGGTCAAGCAGAGAGAAGCAAGAGGTCAGTCAGGCTGCCAGGCTTAGAGATCTCAAAGGAAAGCCCTATGAGCACTCAGCAGTAGACCTTACTCACGCATGGGTGCGGTGTGAGGAATCCAAGGCATGCATTATTATTGACACATGAATAATCACTGTTTTAATTAAAGATATGGGATTTTTGGTGTTGAATTTCCTCTTTATACTTTTCTGCAGTGCTTACATTTTTATAAGGAGCATTTCCTTTTCTTTTTTATTTATTTTTTCCAAGGATACTTTTTTTTTTAAACAGATTTTAATTTATTTTTTATTTTTTTATTTTTTTTAATATATCTTTATTGATTTCAGAGAGAGGAAAGGAGAGGGGGAGAGAGAGACAGAAACATCAATGATGAGAGATTCATTGACCAAGCCCGCAACCCAGGCATGTGCCCTGACCGGGAATCGAACCCCAATCGCCTGGATCCTAGGTCGATGCTTAACCGCTGAGCCACGCCCGGCCGGGCTCGAGGATACTTTTCAGAGAGAGTGGAAAGGGGGGGGGGGACATCGATGTGATAAAAGACACATCGATTGGTTGCCTCCTACACAAGGCCCTGAATGGGGATCCAGCCTGCAACTGAGCTATATGCCCTTGGCCGGAATCAAACCTAGGACCCATTAGTCCATGGGCCAATGCTCTAACCACTGAGCAAAATCGGCTAGAGCGCATTTTATTTTCTTAATCAGTAAAATTCAATAAGTCTAGTTCATTTTAAAAATAGAAACTAATGATAATAAATCATTTAGGAAGTGGTGTAATATATATTAGGCTTTCTGACATAACTAGAAAAAGAAAAATACAACCAATGAAAAAAGTAGAATACAAAGGAAAGAAAATGAGTATAAATTCTTTCAAAGAAAAGATGTTTTTGACTCAATAATAACGCCATACTCACCGTGCTACAACTAAAAACTGGTCTATCTGTCGATCTGTAAGTGGGCTATTTGGGTCCCAAACTTTAACTTCCAATTTGGACTGTTCCCTCTCATCTGATTCTCCTGCCAGAGAAGAAAGGAAATGGAGTCTTATTACTCACAGGGCACATAAACTGTCATATGTGACTGATGACTGTGGTGACTGCAGCATTAAAAATGTAAGGTGAATGTTCACGGTTTTGGTACATTCTTTCAGACAGCAGATGCAGACACTTTGTAAAGTGAACACTGATAGAAACGCAACCAAACCATATGGTATTTTCATTTGTGATTAACATGTACTTCCTGAATGCTCCTATGTGTGAGGCACTAAGTCTCGTGATAAGGGATATAAAGGCAAAAAATAAAGCACTCCTGCAGTAAGACGCTTAAACTATGACAAAACTTACACATAAATAACTATGATACAAATGAAAAGAAAAAGAAAAAAACAACAGGTGTCATAAGAGACATATAGCTATGGCTGTAAAGTTCCAAAGGTTAGATAAGCCATTTCCAGCTAGCTAGGGAGCGATCATGAAGGAGGAGGCATTTCTGCTAAGAACTGAAAGATACGAGTCCACCGGCAGACGAACTGGACGTAAGACTAAGAAAAGAACATGAACAAAGTCATGGGGCTTTCAAATGTGATAGAAAAGTAGTTTCTTTCATCAGGAATACATTAAGGGGAATGAGGGGAGGTCGCTAAGGAAGTGGATTATGAACGTGTTACTGAAGATGCCACATACATTTTCTGAAAAGGGAGGTAATGAGAATTCCTTGCCTTTTTAGTAGGGGAGTGACAAGACCAGGATCAAACTTCTCACTCACACTTAGAAATGGTATATAATTTGCTCTATGGACACACCTGATGAAGACAGAGGCATGGTATTGACAATGACGACTGAGAGCAAAGGGAGATTTAGCAATGTCAGTGACAGGTTGGAGGTAGTGGGTAGATGTCAAGCCTTGAGAACTACAGGGATAGTGCTGGCATCAACAGAAAGAAGACTGATGATAATGCAGGATGCTATGTTTTGGGAATAGCTCACAAGGAGATACAACCATCAGGCAGGATTCAATGTGAGGACAAAGGTTAGTAATGGAAAAGATTTAGGACTTGACTGAAATTTTGATTTGCAGCTATGGATTTCCTATCAGGCTAGGAACTGGTTTTGGCTTTGTTTTGCTTTTGAATCACTCCATCTATATCAGGCAGAGCTCTGCCCTGACTGACATGCTGTGACACTAAACACCCCTGACAAACCCAGGCTATGGGCTTCTAATGTGTTCAGCTTCCTAGTGTAGGAGAAAGCAGATATTGATGATTCAAAAGGAGAAAGGGGGAGGGCAGAATCAGCCATTCCACCTGCAGTCTCCTAAGTCAGCCCCTTCTGTCAGGTGGGAGACTTGCTCATCCTGCACCCTTGTTCAAAAAAAGCCAATTGCCACCCCCCAACATAAAGAAACACAAGCAGAGCACAGAGAGTACTAGGCCAAGGAGATCTAAAGTGTTGGAAAGGATTTCACTTTTCACTATTTACAATTCTCAGCATGCTGAGCCAAGACATTCAACATTAGGTTCGTAGTTAAAAACCAAAAATTGGCAAACTGTGTGAAACCTGAGAAAGGAGAATGTCACATTTATACTTCCCTGTATCTTCAAATAATGTATTTTAAGTAAGATAAATAGTAATGGTAAAAAAAGATAGAAATTATGAAAATAAAAATTTGAGATCTTAATTTTTAAATAATACAAGATAAAATGACAACGTTACTCTGTATTAAGCCCATCTCTGTTATATACTCTAGAACTTAAGGGTTAAACTGATATTTAATTTTCAAATTCTAATAAAATTGATATATTTCAATCCCACCCATCCATTCTGCAGCACACAGCAGAAAGAGAATTCCGTATAAGAATTGTAAAATAAATTCCCTACAAACAATTTTTAAAACACTCCTGGATGCACTTATACTAACACCTAAGATACAGATAATACCATGAAATGAGAACAAAAATAGCAACAGCAAAGAGAATAAATATATATCAAACAGTCACTCTAAATAAATAAGAATTCCCCATTTTAGATTCACCATATAATAACATTTGTATCAGTTTGATCACTTCTTTACAGTAAAAAAAACTTTTAAGTTTTTTTTTTTTTTTAAATGTGTCTTTATTGATTTCAGAGAGAGGAAAGGAGAGGGAGAGAGAGAGACAGAAACATCAATGATGAGAGAGTCATTGATCGGCTGCAGCCCGCAACCCGGGCATGTGCCCTGACTGGGAATCAAACCCCGATCTCCTGGATCCTAGGTTGACACTCAACCGCTGAGCCATGCCCGGCCGGGCAACAAGTTCTTGAATAAATTTACAATCTCACTTTCCTCCTCCATTTATGATAATCTGCTCAAGTCCCACATCATCAAAAAACCCAGCTCATATCTCCCTAATCTCCGAATTCCTAAAAATGTACATACCAACTGCATGAATTTTATATTAACATCTTATTTTTGCTTCTTTGTCCTTCAAAATTTTGAAGAAATGTAGATTCAACAATCATTTTAACTGTGTTAGCCTTAGCCTTCTGGCTATTTTTTAAGATTGCTAGAAAATATGGACAAAGTACTTCTTCCTTATATCCTCTAAGCACATAATGTCTGAAGACTCTGAAGAATTAAGGCTGTATGACAATCCTATAGGACCTTTCCTGAACAAATGGAAATATTCTTTATTCTAAATACAATTAATTATCTTTGCACCAACCACCAGAGTTCTACATTTTTTATGTTATAGTTAATTCAGAAATACACAACCATACCATTTTTAATATTGTTCTGAAGCTTCTGACCAATGTATTAAATTATAAAAGATGGATATAAAAACTTCAATAGTAATTCAAACAAAAAAAAAAACCATACTTTTTAAAATATCACATCACATATAAAACACTAAGAAATAAAATTGAAGGTATGCTTATAAAAAGAAACTACATGGCCCAGCTGTGCATGGCTCAGCGGTTGAGCATCGATCTAGGATCCAGGAGACAGGTTAGATTCCCGGTCAGGGCACAGGCCCAGGTTGCGGGCTCAATTCCCAATGACTCTCTCATCATTGACATTTCTGTCTCTCTCTCCCTCTCCTTTCCTCTCTCTGAAATCAATAAAGATATACATATATAAAAAAAGAAAGTACATGATGACTTGAGTATAAAGAGTAAAGAAAACTTTAAATCTTAAGGATATAACTTTTGTACAAGTAACTCAATAGGTTACATTTAACAAATTTTAAGTCTTGGGAGCCAACAGAATGATCCAAATATTAATCTTTACCAATCAAATAATATTATTATGAAAGGGATAACAAGAGAAAGGATTAACCAAACGGCATGGGATTATAGAATCAATAGTGTACTGGCACAAAAATAAACAGAGTCAAAAGCATAGAAATAGACTAGATGATAAAATAATTTATCTGAAATGTATTGTTATAAGTACCATTACAATTATGTAAATATTAACTAACATTTATTTAGTGCTTACTATGTATGTCCCAAGAATCCTTTACAGCAGAGTTTCTCAACCTCAGCAGCACTGACACTTTGGGCCAAATAACACTTGGTTGTGGGAGCTGTCCTGCGGACTACAGGATGCGCAGCAGCATCCCTGGCCTCTACTCACTAAATGCCAGTAGCACCTCTACCCTCTACATCACCAGTAGTGACGACCAAAAATGTCTATAGACACTGTCTAACGTCCTCTGCAGAACAAAATTGCCCCAGGTTGAGAATTACTGTTTTACATGGTTGCAATCAATACCTGCTTACACTTAATTGTTATAGGCCGGTGTTTTTAATTTGGTCAACATCCACCACAATGTTGAAAAGCACATTCTGCAAAATTACATACTAAAAACAGAAGGGTTATAAAAAAAATCAGACAAAACTCTGAAAACCTATACAACTAGGTAACCAGAGCACTCAAGTAATAATCATAATAAAAATACAAACACAGCTAAATCTCCCCTGACATTTGTTTGCACCAAGCACAAAGGTCAGTAGATCTTTTATCTCCTTAAACCCTGGACTCATGCTTCCTCCACTGAGATATAGGTCATTGTGTACAGTTTCAACAAAATAAAAAATAGAATTCAGGGTGCAGGTGTTTTTGAACACAGGGAAATATGTTCATAGCTCCTTCATCTGTAACTGAAAGCTTTCCATAGTTTTGTTTCTTATTACACTTTACTTTCAGTATTTTGCATTGGTTTTAGGTATACAGCCTAGTGATTAAGACATCCGTATTGTTTTAACATAGTAGAAAGTGCCACAGATTTTGAGGTCACCAAATCAGCTACTACTTGCACTAGAGGAAGGCACTTCTGTAGAATTCTCATCTTTTTTCCTTAAGCTCTCTATCTATAAGAATACGTGCTTTCCTGATTGCTGCAGAAAGTCTCAGACAAACTGACCCAACCTGCACACTATAATGATATTTTCCTATTTACCAAATGCATACGAGCTACTTCAAGTTTTTAAAGCGTTATGTTGTAGGAGAAGAGTCTATACTAATTTAACTCTTTAACTCTCAAAGACAGAGTCCTCCTGAAGTTCCCAAACACTGACAAGAGTTATTTAACTAGTAGCAGTAGATAGTGGTAACCAGGAGGGAAGCAGCTGCAGTAGGTGAATTACTTTACTTGATCATCACAGCACTATTAACCAGGGGGTGGAGGGCTGGGAGGGGGGGAGACGACGTGGGATTAGTTTTTCCTACAGGAAATAATACGATAATTAATAAATAATACAAGAATAAACCGTTTCACATACTCACAACTATAAACCTATGTTTGCCCCACCCTATATATGTACATACATTATTTCCTTTTTAAAGAGGAAGAAATGGGAACTTAGAGAGGTTAAATAGTTTTTCCAAGGTTATTCAGCTAAAATACAGCACAGCCAGGTTTTGCCCAAACCTGTGAATCCAGTTATTGTAGTTTAATAATTTAATGTTATTATTCTACTTTTTAACAGCCACAAATTTTAATTTAATATGTAAACAGATCTTTCTTAAATTTTCAGTGCTACAACACAGTGAACTAATAATTCAAACCTTTGCACATTGTATCTTTTTCTATGGAAAATCCTCTAGGTGCTTTATTCAAACTCAATAAAAGATTTTAAATCCCTTCCTTCCTTTGCAAACTACATACCCATCTTTCCAGATATTCAAGAGTTTGTTAGATGGTGAGCAGTCATAAGTGAATTTCAAAAGTCTAACATAATAACAAGATTTATTCACTAGCAAGACAAATGCCACAATATTTTAGAATTCATCAAGACATGCTCACAAAGGATGTAAGCCTGTAATATATATCCTGGCATGGTGCTCAAGTTGCCACCTCCTCAGGGTATTAATTCAAGTTCTGCAACCCATGCCAGTGCAAACTGGAATCTGGCCACTGGGCAAAATGTACCCACTCAAGAATATCTGTTCCTTTTTTAAAATATGTTTTTATTGATTTTAGAGAGAGAAGAAGGGAAAGGGGAAGAGAGAAAGATCAATAGCTGCCTCCCTCATGCACGTTGACCAGGGATCAAGTCCACAACCTCCGCACCCGTCCTGACCGGGAGTCGGACCAGCAACCTTCAGGGTGCATGACGCTCAACCAACTGAGCCACACTCGCCAGGGCCATAAATATCTGTTCTTGAATATGATGTTTTCTACTGTTTAATTTCCCTGCAAACAGGTATTGGCAATCTATGGAAGTTTCTATGAAGGCAATGTCCATGTTTTTCAAGTGTGGTTTAACGAATGATATATATATTTGCAGCCCTACACCCTTTCCCCCAAAAGCATATTAATTAGAAAAAAGAAAGGGGTTCTTTAAGTCTTGTATCTAATTGACCGCCTGATTATAACTGAAAAGAAACATTTTGTATATGCTAAATGCTTTAGGCTGCAATAAGAGTCCAAAGTGACTTCTTCAATTATGATGAAAAATGTTTTTCTTTGTTAAAGTTGAGTACTTACACAAATAAAGCCAACAAATTATAAACTTAAAAATAAGCTTAACAAATAATGTATAAAATCTACATGACTAAATCTTAATTTTTTAAAAACTCCCACAAAACCCAAAAATAGCCTTGAACAAAGGGCAAGACATCTCTTGTTTCTGGTTAAGATGTTTTAATATCAAAATGTCTGCTCTCCTTAAAAATTAACTGCAACCCCAATAAAAATAGGAAGGAAGGTGGTGGTGGTTGTTTTTCTGGTGTTAAATCTCAAAAAAAAAAAAAAATAAGGCAGGGACTAGCCTCACCAGATATTAACACATACTCAAAGAGCCTCTATAATTAAAAGTTAGTTACTAGAGCAGGAACAAACAAGACCAGTGGAACAGAACAGAAATCTCGAAAACAGACCCATGTACTGCTCACTAGGAGCATATACATTTGTCAAAAACTCAGAACTATACACTAAAAAGGGTGAAATGTATTTACAACATGTAAGTCATACCTTAATTAAAACAAGGAAAAAACCACCTATAAATGACAACCTGGAAGACGATTTTGCATTTGGTCAAAATTTTACCACATGTGCCCTATGATTGAGCAATTGCACTTTTGGGAACATATTTTCCAGTTAATCCAGAGTACAAAAGTATCCATTATACCCACTGCAGTACTATTTGTAAAATTTAAAAATCGTTTTATTTTTTAATAATAAATATTTAGTGAACACTCAGGTACAGTGATATAAGTCTAACATCAAACATTAAAGACTATAAACATCCAAAATTGTTTCTGGAAGACAAGCCGATTTTTTTAATGGTAAGAATGTTTTATTTTTGAAATCAGAAAATAAAGGTTTTGTGTATACAGTTATAATATATACATTGCTGGGAAGATGTTTTTCAAATACAAAGTTGTGAATCTTTCTGGTACATAATCTACCCAGTTCAGCCAGAATCCCCACCATTTAAAATGTAAGTGTTCACTAGATTTCATGGCCTCCTCAGATAGATGGCTTAAGGGCACTCAGGATCTCTAGGCATAAATAAGTGTGCCACATGAAAACACAAACTCAATATGAATATCCCTGAATTTATCCTTAAAAAAAAAAAAGCAAAATACTCATAAAAATGTAAACTCAAAAAAGAATAACTGATTAAATAAATTATTATCCCATGCTATTTTCTGCATTTCTAAAATTGGAAGAACTCATACCTTTTAAACTTTAGCCTAAAAGTCGATTCTCCCATATAAGGAAAACAATGTTTGAGTTTCAAGATATACTGTATGTTTTCACAGGATGCGGAACCCAAAGGAAAACATACCTTCTGAGAGCATTTCTGGAATGTCTGCTTGATATCTAGGTCCCACTCTGATTTCACCTTTGTCAGCTAACAGTGTTTTCACTGAGGGGTCATAGACCAATGAGTAGAAAAAGGTATCCTGAAAAAAATGACAGAAAATATCTAGGTAAACTTTTTATGAAACAATAAATCCAGTGTCACAATACTGAAACCACAAAATTTCGCAAGCATATAAAATTTCACTTTGGTGAACAAATTCATAAATGTCTAAAAGGGAGAACATGAAGTTGCTGTCATCATGTAAAACAGTGTAATATTAAACCAAGCCAAAACAAATAGCTTATAATAAAAGTAGATAATAAAGATTATTTGGTTTAGTCTAAATGAAAATCATTTAAGAGCTCTAAAACAGGGTTTTGAAAAGCTAGCAAAGTTAAGTCATAAGTCAAAGGTAAGACACCTAAAATCAAGTAATCAATTAAACCTCCAAAGCCCACACTAAACAGTATGGATGCATTCATGGATACCAGGCACTCTTACTTTTGGAGTGTCCATCCCACACTTTATCAAAATATTAAAATGTACACACATCCACATTAAATAAACTATAGAAGAGCTGAGCCTTTACACCGTTTACTAATTAAAGTGTCACACTGTATACATTTAATTAAACATCTATTAATTATAAGTCTGCAGTTTTCCTTTAAATCATAACTATACATACCACCACCACCAGCACACCCACCTATCTGTGGTCCAGTAAAATGCAAAAGAGCCCTAGTTACTGGGTCTAATGGGTAAAATGACCTGGCCACCAGTCCTTTGCTAAACTCTGCGTAACCAATGGAGGCTGTCTGAACCAGTCAAGTCTTGTACCTGCTTCCCACTAGGATTCTGAAGGTCACCTACTGCACGACTCTCTGTATTATATCCTGGAAGGGTCCATCCTTACCATTAGCACTTTCCCAAGACCCAGTCAGGCAAGTTGCAAATAACAGATAGTCTGTCAGATTATAAAGCTGTCTCCTTTCAAGGTCCTAGACTGCGGTCATGGAAAAGGAGAAAGACAGACAAGGAGACTCTGAGAAATTCTTCCCAGTGTTTCCATCATGGGTCACTGTGAGGGGAAGAGATTAAAGAGTAAAACTGTTCAAAAGTCACACCATTATGTGACAATTTATGCATCTAAAAAATGCTATCCAAGGAAAAGAAAAAAATCTGCAGAATATACTAACCTGCTTGATACACTGGGGGAGGACAGTCAGTATATAATCAGAGTTGTTCCTTTGCTTTTTAAGACAGGAGCAATAACAAATGTTACTAGGTAACTAAAGCTACTACCACTGGCTCACTATCAGCTTTAAAAGTAGAGATACGTCAGGTCACTTTTAGTCTGTAAAATGTTAGCGAAGTATTCCATAAAAACAAGATTTTTGCATCCCTAGCCAGCGTAGCTCAGTTGGTTGGGCGTCATCCTGTGCACTGACCGAAAGGTTGCTGGTTCAATTACCAGTCAGGGCACATACCCAGGCTGTGGGTTCGATTCCTGGTCTGGGTGCATATGGGAGGCAACTGAGAGATGTTCCTCTCACAATGATGTTTCTCTTTCTCTCCCCCTCTCCCTTCCTCTCTCTCTAAAATCAATGAAATCGGGTGAAGATTAAAATAAAATTTAAAAACTTTTTTTAAGTTTCCTTAAGTACACTGCCAGAGGTCAGTCCCTATTTCAAAGTTTAATAGAAGACTAAGTGGTGAAAAGAATAAAGACATTTGCAAATTTTCACCCAGTACAGTTCTTTGCTAACAATAACTTAGAAGGCAAAAAATATTTAAAAATCCACTCAACAGCCAAATATACCAATAAAATACACTGAAACATACTGAATATTCCCTCCTTTTATTTCTGCTTCTGTGCAATAATTCTAGCATTATTATTATCCACGTTATTCCTTATTATCAACCATTCTGTTGGACAGACTGATGACAAACCCAAGTACCTTCTTTTCTGAATTTCACAAGCATTAAGTTATAAGGACTATTAGCCTTTTTTTCTCCCTTGAATATTTATTTCCTTTTAGTTTTCTTTATTGTTTCTAATGTACAGTAGTTCTACATATTTTTATCTATCTTTTCAGTTATGTTTTCTTCATTTGAGATAAGACAACAATATTTTGAGTATGATAAGAAATATGTCCCTTTAATTCTTTTATATATATATATGGGGGAGGGGAGATTTGGTGTAAACAAAACCACCATAAAGGTTAAATACTGAACATCATCAACAGTAAAATATTTTTCCCATAAGACAAATGCTAAGTCCCATAAAACTGTACATAACATGGAATACTGTCTATGAACATTTCCTCCCTTCACTGAAGCTTATACTTGAATTCAACTAGCTAAACAATGTTAAAATGTTTCTAGCTGAAGTTTACAGAAATAAATATTTTTAGTTAACAAAGTTTATTAGGGTTCCAAGAAAGAAAACAGATCACCAATGGTAAAATCTCATCTGAAAAGAGCCTAAAAGGTATTTATTAAAAATCAACAATGATAACAAAAACAAAAACAAACAAAAAACAGGGAGGATGACCAATTACAGTGAAGTCACTTTTTCATAAAGCCAAAAATATTTCTTCTACTGCCAGCTAAGTCACATTATATTTTAAAAAGGTTTTCATTACCAACTGGAAAAAGAGAGACAAACACAGGAGTTTTTAACTCTTTTCTCAAGTAACCAGAAAAATCAAATTATCCAAATGCATTCTAGTCATTATATTTTTACTATAATACTGCTATGGTGGTGCAATAACTTGGTATGAAATGAAATAAAGTCAAAGGTATGGGCTTCGAGTGAAATAAGGGGGGGCACAAAACAAGTATAATTGTGAATTACCTCTTTATCAAGATATGACAATACTGACTCTGTCTCATTCAGAAGGGCAACAGTGCATTTCCCCCTGTTGAAAGAGGGGAAAAGTGAACGAATAAGTAAACATTTAAGAAAGGCTACTTCACCTTCACAGTGATGACGTATACAAAGTAAGGAATATTCAAAATGTAAGGTTGGCATTAAGAACCCAAGTGGCAGTTAGGAATATACATAAATGTATATACTTAGACTGGCTTTACAATCCTGGTGTTGCATAACCTAAAACATTCAAGACTGTTTTTGTAGACATTTATAGAGAGGCTAACCTGTGGAAGGAACTGTTAGGCAGTAAACCCTTATAACAGAAACCACATTATAGCTATTTCCTAGTTATTCAAGAAAAAAAAAGTACAATGAAAAACCTTCAGATTAAGTCAGTTTCCAAGTCTAAAATGAATAAATATGAGGTAGTTTTATATTTTTCAGACATTATGCAAACCATGAAAATCAGTGCCTAATATAATCTTCAGATTTTTAAAGAAGCCACTGCATATGAGAACCTAAAATATATACACATTCATACCAGGATTAACTAAACTTACCTTTATTGAAATTGCTCTGAAGAGTAGTTAAAATTTAAACACAAGGAACTTCTACAGAGCAAGGGGCACAGTAACGATCTATAGGCCTGTTCGACCTTGAAGTCTGATAGCAATTACCTTTGATCCTAAGCCCTGGGTACGAGTCTGGAAATGGATGTCAATTTAAAAGCACTTGTCTAGACTTGAGAAAAAGTAAGCTTATCCAGGTAAAGGCATTTATTACAAGCACTTTTTAAACTGTCCTCACTAGCTTGAAAAATTCAATATGGCCGGAGAATTTTGATAGAGTATTTAAGATATAGATATTGGTCAGGACTCACAAAAATTTTCTAAATACTATAATGTAATATGATTTCCTAAACAAAGTCACTACTTGGCTCTCCACAAAATAACAAGCAAAAATAAACACATCACATATGCGTTATTAGGAACTAGAAGAACTGTTGCTGTTGGATTATCAGGAGTGAAAAACAATTCATCACAGATATGTAAAGTACAGCACAGGGAATAAAGTCAACAACATTGTAATAACTATGTATGGTGCCAAGCGGGCACTGGAAATATCGGTGGAGGGAGGGGATAACTTTGTAAAGTATATGGCTGTCTCATCACTATGCTACACACCTGAAACCAATACAAAATAATACTGAATGTAAACTGTAATTGAAAAATAAAATTTTAAAAAAGGAAAAAATTACCAAAAGCAAAATAAAATACCAAAGGTAAAAATACTAGCACATAGGTAAAATATAAAAATAAAATTACAGTTCTCTAAACATTTTGCAACACTATATTCCTCAAGTTTAAAAAAATTTCCCCTCATAAGGACGCCTTTTACTGGTAATCACCTTGGGTTATTATCACGTCAAAATATTTCTCTGGGAGCATGTGGTATCTCCATATTTTCCAATCTCTATTTTGCTTACAAAGAGTTACAAAGGTGTTCTGTTTTTCTAATATACCTTATTCATGCATATTACTGAAGCAGAAAAATTAACATTATTACTTCAGTACACATAACAACACTCAAAAGTCAACAATTACCTGACATGCTCTCACACAGGACAGAATTACGAGCAGGAAATTGCTCTGTTGCTGTGAGCATATCTACAGCTGTCACTGAACTTCTATGACCTGTGAATATGTGCAGCATGCTTAAGCAATAAATGGGCTTTCCAAAAAGCCCATTTGTTTGTTTTTTGCCTCAATAACAGCTAACAAAGCAATATTTGTAACAATTAATATTTAATCACCTAGAAGAAATAAAATCTTTCTTTTAAGTTCTCAAAAGTTGGGAATTTTTTTTAATGGGAGGAGTAAAAGCTGCTAAATGTTATTTAATAGATAACACTTTCTTAAATAGTCACTTGAATTTTAAGGGTTAACAGGCACTGAAAATTCATATAAACAATATAGCATACTTAAAGTCTCCTCCATACTGTCTGAAATGACAAGAGAATTTAAACTGAATAATTAAACCATTGTTTTCCTAATTATATTAGGAGATAGAAAACACTGGTTATACCGTTTTAGAGGCATGTTATTTTTTTTTTAAAAAATCAATAGGCTATGTGAGCCAATCTAAAATATAAATTATTTGGGGCAATGTACCTTTTACACAAAGATGAAAGGGTAATAGGTGATTTTAGTTTTTAAATTTTCTTTACTGTAGCTATATTGTACTTTTTCCCAAATTAAAAATGAAAATCCAACACAAAAATTTTCATGTACATACATTAACAGCTAACAAAGCAGGAGGTTGAGTCAGAATTATTTTATGAAGTAAATATGATTATGTAATTAACACATGTACTACATGCCAAGAGTTGCTGATAAAAGTAGTTTAAAGTGAGATTCAAAGTGTTATCTTCCTTTATGCCAAACAAATGCTGGCACACAGATAAACATGTGCTAAATTCTAAGCAAACCCCAAACTAAAGGAATTATCGAACTCTGAATACATATGGTAGATTTACTCTGAATCGCAAGCAATGATCCTAACTGTTCTCCTCCATAATACTTTAATCCTTAAAACACCGAAATATGATGATAAAATATATCAAAGACCTTAACACAAAGCAAGAACACTCTAGGCCCATGTAATTATTCATACTGCTTTTCTATAAGGAACCATGCAAGGGAAAGGAAATTCTATAGAGATAACATACTTTCCCACAGATCATTCAAAAAGTTATTTAAAGTATACTGTTTCAGAGACTGTGCTGGGACAGAGACATGTGTGAATAAATAATTACCAAACAGCATGGTCCCATGTTTAATGGCAGGTGCTGATCAGCCTACTATATGCTTAGCAAGATTCCTATATAATCCCACAGATTCAAAAACCATATGTAAAAATGTACATACTGGTAATATATTTCTTTTATCTACAGATGTTACCAATCTGATGAAAAAGAGACAGTTTACATTATCATCTATTTCCATACTGCCTGAAGAATTTCCTTCAGTTTCATACGACTGCAGCTTGTAGAATGGGTCAGAGCTCACCAACCCTGCTTCGGAAAATGCAGATTTCTTAGCCAGGCCAGACTGAAGGACTCCAAGTACTTGGGGGGGGTTCAGGAATCTACCTGATAACCAAGCATCGCCAGGGGAGCGTCAGGCACACTGAACTTGGAATACCACTAGACACATGCAGAGTCTGCCTTTAAACTGTCCTTGTTCAATGAAAGCCATTATTTCTTCATTTAAAAAATGTGTATTTCTCAGTGGCCTTACGAGTCTTACATTTGCTCTGAATTCTGAAGATTTTTTTCATATAAAAAATGCTAGGTTCTGTGATTAGAAATTCGGCAAATACAGTTTTATACAGCATTGCACCCATTAAATACAATGAGCAACCAAATAAAATAATGAAGTTCAAAGATCCACCATGCTTTCAAAAAATTACATCTCTCAGCAGAAACACTGTAAAATAGGACAAAAGGAAAGATTCAAATTTCTAAAGGAAAAATAAAATAAAAAGTAAATTCTGAAGGAAATTATTTCTAAACATATTTGTTTATGTGCCAAAAAAAAAACACCTCCATCCAACTGTGAAAAACATTCTCAGATAACCAAGGACTAAAATTTTTTTTACATTTTAGAAGACTAATGGAAAGGAAAAGGCAAAACAATTATTATACTCTCAGTGAAACAAAAGGTTGTACAAGAAACAGCATGTGAGGAATATTTATATGGTCACAAAATACAAAGACTGATCATTAAGTTAAATAAAAGTTGTGATATTGGCAATACCTGGGAAAGAGAAGGGAAGGAAGAGAAAGTAAAGAGAGATTTCTAAAACGGAGAAATCAGTATCAGCAGCGTAAGAGTGGTAAACACGCAGAAGCCACTGTCAGAGAAGCTGAACATGACTACAGTGGGGAACCAGGCACATGACTATTCAGTATTATTAGAAAGCTCTACACATTTGACTTTAAAAATATAAAATTTAAAGTAAAAGGGGGGATCCCAATTAGATAAAGTGCATAAATGTCTATGACTGCTATACATGTTAAGGGAGCGAGGTTTTCTCAACCTTAGCGTTACTGACGTTCGTTGCGGGGCTGCCCTGGAAGGGGAGGATACTGAAGCAGCATCCCTGGCCTCTGCCTCACTGGATGACAGTAGCATCCTCACACCTAGCTGTGACTACCAAAACTGTCCAGGCCTTGCCAAATGTCCCCCAGGACATAGAACTGTCCCTGGTTAAGAACCATTGCTCTATATTATAGAGTTGTTGACATGGTTTTCTTAACTAAATCGTAGTAACAAACATTTAAGGACTGCCTATGTTAATTGAAAGAATATGATTTTATGGATCATTTTCTAGATTATAAAAAGCAGAAAGACAGCCCGGCCAGGTGTGGCTCAGCGGTTGAGCATCAACCTGGGATCCAGGCGATCGGGTTCCATTCCCGGTCAGGGCACATGCCCAGGTTGCGGGCTCGATCCCCAGTCGGGGGCGTGCAGGAGGCAGCCGATCAATGACTCTCTCATCATTGATGTTTCTATCTCTCCCTCTCCCTCTCTCTCTCTGAAATCAGTAAAGATATATTAAAAAAAAAAAAGTAGGACAAAGAAGAAATCTGGAAACCTTTCAGAATTTCTATTCAAAGATGTATTTTCTGTTCTTAATACTGCTGTAACAGATGTTAAGAAGTAAAAATCAAAAGAGGACCAAAAAGAGAAAACCCAAAAAACCAAACACCCATGAGTAGGCGAGGTAGAGGAGTAAAACGCCAGGAAGAGCAGCCAGGATTAATGTGGATTCTGTGGAGAAAAATGACAGTGTTTTGGAAAGGTCGTTGTGCCTGTGGCATGTGGAGAGTACTGAAAGATCAAGACTTCAATCCACGATTCCAGAGATTTGATAAAAATATGAAAGAAACTGTCAACAAGTAAATTCAAGGGGGGAATCCTCTTGGTGCCACATTACCCTGTTACAGCCAGGAGAAAGTGAAGTGTGCAAAAGGTAGCAGGTGCTAGGACAGTCCCTGCTCCAGAACAGGATGGCGATTTGTTCTAACTGCTGGAAAAGTCACAGGCATTCCCACAACTGTGTGGGACACCAGTACTAGGGACAAAATGCAGTATGTACTTCCACCTAGCCCAGGGCTTTTCTGCGTCGTGGTTTTGGTTGGAGAAGAAAACACTTCAACCCATGGGGAATAGACTGATCCTTTCAAGGAAAGATTATATAGTGTAAACACAACATTCAAAAAAAGTGTGCTATAAACATGTAGACTCAAATGTTAAATTATGATATGATTTTTCTCTATTTCACTTGCTCTATTTTTCCTCTAGTTCTCCTACTAGCAACACTAAGTAATTAACTTCCTTAGGTTAATTTCATTTTTTTCGGGTTTTTTTCTTTTTTCTTTTTTCTGAAGAAGGGAAGCCACGGAGTTTAGAATTTTATTGCAGCTAATACATTAAGTGGATAGTTAAGGCTTGACAACACATAATTGCCTATAAAGACCTTTGCAGCCAGTGCCTACCACCCTCACTCCGAATGAACTTTCTTGGATGGCTCCAGCGTTAGAGACAAGCATTAACAACTGCAAACAGCAAATCCCTCTCCCGACAGCACTCGGAACTCGGCCAGCTGCCTGGACGGCCCTCGGAGGGTCTCCGCCAGCTCTGAAGGGTGATTTCGGTCCATCTCTACCCTCCTGCTTGTCTTTATGGCAGAACTTATTCTCTTTTTCTCAGCCTTTCCCAATTCATGTTTCCTATCCTGATTCTCCGGAGTACAGCATCTTCTTTGGATGGCTCCATGGGCACCTGGCTGGCTTCAGCAACCATGTCTCGAGTTTTCTGCAGGCAATCTGCCAGATTTCGGAGCTGAGAGCAGCTACATTCAGAGGTGAGTATCAATTCTCCCAACCTGTTGATCTTATTTTTATGCATGATGGCCATCTTCTGGCCATGGCTCTGCATCCAGTCGGCGGTTGCCAGGAGGAACCTGACTTCAGCCTTGGCGTTCACTTTATTAACGTTCTGGCCTCCAGGACTGCTACTCTGACAGTAAGATACTGTTAAGCGATCTAGAGGAATATCATTGTTGGTTTGACTTGCTGCATCCAGCACCCTCCACACAGTGTCCGAGCCCCGCGAATCCGGGCAGAGCTTGTCCAGGCTGCAGATGCTCTGGAATTCGGTGCCGTCTGCCTGCTTGAGCAGATCCTGGTGGGGGCAGCGCGTGGGCATCAGGAGCAGCCAGGCTCCGCTCGGCTCAGGCCCCGCTCGGCTCAGGCCCCAGCGCAGGTGCCCGGTGGCCGACACGGTCGAGTCCCCGGATTGCTTCCTAATTTCATTTCTTAAGTAGCACTAGTTATTGCCCTTTAGGCTAATTCAAATTTTATTTACAAACTCCCAGAAAACTGCAAAAATCTAACATCTTAAAATAAAAATATCAGAGAAAGGAAATGTGAGGAAGAAAATTGCCTTTATAAGAATTTTTTTTAATATATTTTTATTGATTTCAGAAATATGAAGGGAGAGAAAGAGAGAAACATCAATGATGAGAGAGTCATTGATCAGCTACCTCCTGCACACCCCCCACTGGGGATGGAGCCCGAAACTCCGGCATGTGCCCTGAGGAACCGAACCTTGGTCTCCTGGATCCTAGGTCAAAGCTTAATCACTGAGCCACACCCGGCCGGGCTATAAAATTTTTTTTAAAGATTCAATTCCAAATAAGTTCCTTTAACATTAGTAGCCAACTGAAGAGAGAATACTAATTCAAGTAAAGTTCTATTTTAATACATATATACTTAATAGTTAGCATTTTCAATCAACTTGTCGTCTTTTTCAAAAATTGTTTTCTCTGAAGATAGCAAAAAGAGGTCTCAACAAACACATCATATATTAATTTCACAAACTACAAATCCTTTCAGGTGAATCTCCCTGCTTTAATCAATATAGAAATACAGGGAAATACAAAATCCAGAAAGTATAATTAGGACGTTTTCATCTATTTTACTTAGTGAAAGTTATTTTGTACATATCCTCACAATCACATATGTGAAAGAACTCATGTACAAGTTTATTATTTTTCACAGCAAAAGACTAAAATGAAAACTGATGAAAAGAATAGATTCAATGACATGGAAGCATAGATGAGACTGATGAATGTCAGAGGGATGGAGGAGGGCGGGTGGGTGGAGGGGGAGAGAGTAACCAAAGAATTTATGTGCATATATGCACAACCCAAGGACACGGACAATGGTGGGGAGAGGGACTGGGGAGGGGGAAGGAACGGGGTGGAACGGATCATTGGGGAGAAAAAGGGACATCTGTAATATTTTAAACAATAATAAAATTAAAAAAAAAAAGTTATTTATCTTTTTAAGCCTTAGTTTCTTCCTCTGTTAATACCAGGAGGCTAATAGTAATTTGTATCCCTTGGGGATGGGCAGATGAGACACTGAAGGTAAAACATTTGTAGGTGCTTAGTCCATATAAAGTCCTTAATTTGTGGGCATTGTTTCAGGGGTGGGGAACCTTTTTTCTGCCAAGGGCCATTGGGATATTTATAACATCATTCACGGGCCATACAAAATTATCAACTTAAAAATTAGCCTGCTTTATTTGGTCAAACATTTAATTAACTCACCCCTAATGTNAAAAAGACTAAAATGAACCAAATATCCATCAATTAGGATTAAGTTAGAAATAGTACAAAATAGCCATAGCAAAGAATGAGGCAGATCTCCCAAGATATTTCATTTAAAAAGCACGTCATCAAAAAATAAATAAGCAGCCCGGCGGGCGTGGCTCAACAGCTGAGCGTCAACCTATGGACTAGGAGGTCACCGTTCAATTCTCGGTCAGGGCACATGCCCCAGGTTGTGGGCTCCATCCCCAGTGGGGGGCGTGCAGAAGGCAGCCGATCAATGACTCATCATTGATGTTTCTATCTCTCTCTCCCTCCTCTCCCTTCCTCTCTAAAAATCCATAAAAACATTTAAAAATAAATAAGTAAAAATAAAAATCACAACATCAAAGCATCATAATTTACTTACAAACATAAACATATACACATCTTATTGCTTCTATATAATATGAAATAGTATAGTATACAGTTTCTGGAAGTATATATAATGTTAAGAAGAAACAACAGACCCAAAATGGAGTCACTTGTGATAAAATCCACCAAGACTTAATACCTAACCTACCTGCAGTTTCAGTCTCTCTCAGGAGTACAGTTTTGAACCAATCAGTCTGGAATTTCCTGATCAACACTAAGGAGGCAATCTACCTAATAAAACCTCCTGCCTTCCCCTAGTGCAAGGTGACCTGGCCTGCAATAATGCACTTTTAACCTCCCTCTGCTAGTAAAAACCTTCTATTTTGTACAGTCCCTCGGAGCTCCCTTCAATGTGCTAGAAGGGATCTTGTCCAATTCATGAATCCTTTAATAAAGCCAATTAGATCTTCAAATTTACTCGGTTGAATTTTTGTTCTTTAACAATATGATTCTAGAAACATTAACAGGCTGGGGAACTGTACAGTAGTGAGACACTTTATAGTATACACCATATTTTGATTTCTGAACTATATCTATATAGTACATGACTCCACAAACGTTTAAATTTTTAAAAGGAGGGGTCTAATCAGTTTTCTGTGATCCTGACAACAACAAAAAAAAACACTGCTCTACCACCCACTGCTTTTGGATCCCAGATTACTCCAAACACTCATCCAAAATGGGGATACCATCCCCAACCATAGTAATTCACAATAAACTCACTATGGCAACCTATTCCCATCAACTGCCATCTACTAACTACATTTCACACAAGGAGACACATCCCAATACTGTAAAGTATTTTTTAGCTAGTAACCTAATTGAAAGAAGTTTAAAAGCATTCCAATGGGGGGGGGGGAATGGGATAATATTTTTAGAGTCTCAACAGAGTCATAATAAATTAAATGACAGGCAAAGCCTACATGTTTATCTCCTCTTTTCTGGGATGCCTTTAAAATGATGAAGAGAACCAGAAACAAAAGAACCTAAGTCACTCTAAAGAAGGGGCCATCAGCATATGAAAGATTTCAGAAAATTCTGGAAGATAAAGATAGATAAGAGAGATAGAGCAAAGCAAACCAAAGTTCAAAATGAGAATTTCAATCAGCAGGGACACTAAGACTAGGAACAAGGCACAAATGTCCACTATATACATTACTATTAAACATGGCATTGGAGGTTTTAGCTAATACAATCAAAAGAGAGAAAAACAATTAAGTCCAAAATATGCATAAAGAGAGCTGATGCTAGGGAAAAATGAAATTGATTTACCTAGCAGAGCCTTAAAGAAGTTCCAGTAAGAACAGGAACTAGAAGAGCCAGCTCTGTATTCTAACTGGAAGCCACCAGCAAAGTCTGCCCACACAAAGGGAGCTCCTGGTTGGCCTTGATTTTAAATAGGAACAGACAGCTATGAATCATCTAATATTTGAAGAAAGACTACAGCAGAAAAGATAAATATCAAAAAAAAATCAAAGAACAAAAACTGAACCTGGAGGAAACAGAGGTGGTTTAAACAAAGAGAACTCTGAAGATACAAATTTAAATTTTTAAAAAGATTTGTGAGGGTACTGCATTCACAAAACAAAAACAGGATGCACTGGAAAATAACAGTATGGAGACAAAAAAGAACCTCTGAAATTTAAAAAATTTTAAATATCACTGGCGAAATTAAAGCATCAGTAGATGGGCTGGAAGATAAACGTCAAAAATTTAGCTCAGAACCAAAAACAGAAAATATAAGAAAAGACAAAGACCATTCATCCAGGAAACCGAACATATAAGCAATAGAAGTACTGGAAAGTGGGGGGGAAATGAAAGAAATACTAGGGGGGCAAAGGCCCAGCTATAAAGGAAGACAGGTATCTAAAATGGTCTACCAAATAGCCTCACAATTGAGGCATCACTGAAATCTCAGGATACAATGGGTATGAGAATTCTAAGAAAATTTAAGAGAGGGGAAAAAACAGGTAATATGCAAAGTATGGAGAATCTATGTAATATAAACTTACTGTTCAATGACCATAGATATTTGAGGACAAAGTTTTGAGAGAAAGTAATTTTTAAGTCAAAATTCAATAGTAAGCCAAACTATGTATTATGGAAGTAATAATAAAGTATCTATGTATTTCATTTCAAAATAGTAAAGGAAGCATTACAAAATATGTAAAAGAGAGGTTGAGTCTGATAAAATTGAGAACCTCTGCTGTAAGGTATTACATGTTAAACCTTAAAACTAAAATTAAGAATCAGAACCAAAAAAACACAGAAGTCTTCCAACACATATATGAAAAAGGAACAGCATAATTAGAATATCACCACTGTATAACAACTATGAATTAATGAATCTCTAGACAATAATCATCAAATACCAGTGACATCCAGAAAAGAAATATTATATATCTCCAGATACACAATACAACCTATGAAGTTTTTGTGTATTGAACATTCCTCTTCCCCAACAAAAAAGAAAGAAACTGAACTACATCTTCTATATATAAGTACCGATTCATGGGAAATATGAGGGAGAGAGGGACATGGTAAAGAACACCATGGGATACAATCAACAAAATCCAAACAGTAAGAAACAAAACCCTCATTTCATCAACAAAAAATAGCAAGGGGAGGAAAAAGAAAGAAAAAGGGAAGCCGTCATTTATTTCCCCTATGGCCACCCAAGTTACTTGGCATCATTTTCTAAAAAGACCACCCTTCCCCCGCTATTCTGCAATGGTGCTGTCATCAAATATGAAGTTGTATTATGTATGTGGGTATGTTCTGGCTTTTCAATTAAGTCCCACAAGTTTATTTCTCAATGTACCTACTAATGCCACTCTATTTTAATTATTCTAACTATGCAAGTGTCTTAATATCTAATAATATAAGCCTCCAACATTTACATTTCTGTTCTTCAAGACTGACTTTGTCAATGGTTCTCAAACTTCTTTATCTCAAGATTTTTTTACATTCCTAAAAATTATTGACGACCTCAAAGAACTTTTGCCTTTCTGAGTTTTATCTGTCAATATTTACTTACCATGTTAGAAATTACTAATTTAAAATAAAAATAAACATATATTAGTAAATATTTGTTATAATTACTATATTTTCCCAAACAAAAAAATACGTAATGAGGACAGTGGCACTGTTTTATGCTTTTGCAAATCTCTTCATGTCT